TCTCTCTCTTCTCTCTCTCTCTCTCTCTCTCTCTTTCGTTTTTTTTTTTTTTTTTTGCCCCTGAAGGAACTTCGCATGGCTGACACATTTTGATAGCCGTCGGTCAATTGAACCGCCCGATCGTCAACCCTACAGACAAATATAAAGAGACATCCGCAAAATTACATACCTACGGCCAATACCTTATCTCTTGTCTACCGAAGTACATCCAACAGTTTTCGGTGTGGAAAGATGAATTGACCATTTATGTTCCCCCAGCTGGTGTCGTGCCTGTCATGACCTTCCTTCGTGACCATACCGCTGCCGAATACACTCAAGTCTCGGATATTACTGCTGTTGATTTCCCCACGCGAGAGTACCGTTTCGAGGTCGTCTACAACCTTCTCAGTGTACGCCATAACTCTAGAATAAGAGTCAAGACGTACGCAGATGAGGCAACTCCAGTCCCTAGCATCACTTCTCTGTACGATGGTGCTCTCTGGTTTGAGCGCGAGGTGTATGATATGTTCGGCGTGTTCTTCACCGGCCATCCTGACCTCCGAAGAATCATGACAGACTACGGATTTGACGGTCACCCTCTGAGAAAGGATTTCCCTCTTTCCGGATATACCGAAATCCGATACGACGAGGAGAAGAAGCGTATCGTTGTTGAACCATTGGAATTGACACAGGCATTCCGAAACTTCGAGGGCGGCTCATCTGCTTGGGAAGGAATTGGCCAAGGCATTGACAGAAAACCAGACAACGTCAGTATCACCGACCTTATTTCTTCATTAAATATGGGAGTAGGCTGCTAACACTTCTATTTATTTATTTTTTCTAGTTCAAACTTCCTACTCCAAAGCCTGAGGAGAAGCCTGAGGAGCAAAAGAAATAAACCAATTGTATATCACTTTCAATACATTACCTGTTTTCGCTTGTTCTATTTTAGACGTACTTGGTACAATGGTACATTCGGTGGTTCATCATCTCAACCCTCTCGTGCGGGGAAATTTTCATTTCTTAACCAAATTTATATACAGATAACACTGTAGGAGGCCACACTAATGAAATGCTCTCATGTCTACATCTAGTCATCAGGAACTGCGGCCGTTAATGTATAAGTCCCGAATATCCAGTATAATCAGCTTATCCAGCAAGTCCATACGCCTGCTTTAAGCTATATTAACGTCAAGATAGGGGACATTAAACCTGCTAATAATCAAGCACTGTAGCCTGAAACATTATTTGGGGGGAGATGGGGTAGAATTAGAGTGATTACTAAGGACCCGTCGGTCGTGGTTCATATCCAACCTTATTGAATCCAACACGCTGCAGGGTGCAAGGCAAGAGACATGTCTGGAGTACCTGGCTCTCGCAAGCAACCACCCAAGGAGCCCCCACTATGCTATTGAAAAAAGGACTAAACAATCCTTCTTCTTCTGTCTGCAGTATGACTGTGATAGGGGCCAGATTTGCTCCCCATGGCGCCATGGGTTGCGATCCTGGTTCCTGTACCAACCCCTAAAAATTCATGGAACGAGGAATCGACAGTCTGCATAAGAGCTTTCCCCTTTAGACGGACCGTCTGGAATACCCCCACCCCATAACTATAGTAACGCATAGACTTCATGGAGTCTAAGCCTTAAGAATGCCCTGCTCGAGAGTGGAGATACATACCGGTCGACCTAGACTGGCTTGATTCAAGACAAACATATTCCAACCGCTTATTACGTACCGTCCGCAGATATAATCGGAGTAAGGGAACGTATCGATCGTTACACCGATGGTCCCATATACCCAGATCCCAGCAGCACATCGTAACCTAAATTTTTTTTTTTTTTTTTTTTTTTTTGTCATCGCGGAAATTGCGGAGAGCTGACTGGGCTGAATCTTGCAGCGGTAAGATGCTTTCCTATTTACATACATCCGTTAGCTATGTTTGAGTACCCAAGCTGGTTAATTTAGCAGTCGATATCCTAGCCCATACCAGGCTTATCCCTAAGGTTTTTTATCTATCCAGACCATGATTCGTTCAATAGCCGAAGAGGGCTACGCCACCTTTCCCTTCCAAAACTGGAGATTTATCAAGGTGACTACCGGACTGGCTCACCGCGGGTGGTCGAAAGATATGGTCTACGACTGGAGACAATAAACTAAGTACTAAACATATTACTCCATATGATCTCAATGAATCCCATGCAATACATCAAGCTGCAAAGGAATCATGCAACATGAATACTTATTGTGCTTTGAATTACCCCTGAATTAAAGGAGGAGGGAGGTATCGCGAGACTGGCACAGATAACTAAATCTCTGACTTATAGAGTCCATACCCCCACAGTTGTGCCCAACAGAGGGAAAAAAAGCCTGCACTGCGGCAAAGGTAAGCACTATTTTTATATCTCCTGCCGCTCCTTCTCATCCAACGTTTACTCCTTTAGGAGATTGCCCGGCGTGCTAACGGCCTTTAAACGCTTGGGACCTGCTACGGCTGAAGCTCACGGTCTTGGCTAGGTATTTCCCCGAGGTGGCGCTGCCAGGCCGGCATGTTGAGGTGCATCCCGTATACATACCTTTAACTGGCTACTACTATGACCAAGCTCTGGGTTACCGATATCTCAATGTAAGCTTATTCATAAGTCAGTGATATCATGATGCCGCTCCGCATTTACCTAGACGTATTGCTGTTCTGCCGTGTTTATTACTGTCCTTCAATGCTGTGTTATTGGCTAATGGTTCTGGTTATAGGTATATGCATTCTCCAGCCTCGATAGCTAAATACCTGATACCACATGGGAAACCGTTTGATGAAACCCTTGTCTAGGAAATAAGTGGATGTTGGCGACTCCATTGAGTGATGACTTCACCCTCGACCAGTGATCTAATGCGGAAATTGCCTGTTTCGTTGCTATTTGTCCTTTTGAGGTACTCATCATCAGCCACTATAATGCAATATTACCATGGAGGCATCGAGCTGGCTTTTTATACAATTGGGGTCACGATTATTAGTGCACTGAAACCTGCCAATATCCACTGGAAAGCCCGGTACTTTTTAGTGAGCCTGCCGCCATCCTTTCAAATACTCGCTATCAGTAATACCCAAGGTAGGCTTATCTACCCCGGGATGAAGAAGAGAACGATACCAAGGTCCAAGTCTCATTTCCATCGGACTCATAACCTCATCGGCCCGGTCCAGACTGAGTTAGCCTTAGAGCCTGGGTTTGAATCTCGAAACATCTTTCATGCCTGAGGATATGAATAGGCTTGTTTCAAGACAAGATTCAACACATGAACCAAGGGCATTAGCGCTTACACTGGACACGCAATAAGAGCCTTTGTCTATTTTGATTCTGACTTGGTTCACCGCACAGGCAAGCCTGGATGGTAATCAATAGAGAGTAAAAGAACACCTTGGTGCGACTCGAGGCCGAGTCCCACCTAATGCGCCGTATTTCTATGCATGAATATTACCTAGGCATGCAGGTATCAAGCCGGGATACATGCCCTTTGCAGCGGCTCTCCGGATGTCGTGTTCAATAGGGGCGCGGGAGGCCGGGGCTTGCAGGGTGAAGGCAGTGCTTTCAGCTACTTCTTTATCCCACCACGTTACAAGAGTTCACAGCAGAACCACCTCAAGAGTATGAGGCAGGTGGGTGTTTTAAGTACGTTATGCTTGTCTACCATGAGAAAACACGGGAGTAGGCGACCCTCGGTGTTCCAAGATTCAGCATGAGATTGTGATATCGTGTCAGATTTGCACATAGTATTCACCAAACGCGGCTATAAATCTTCAGCACCTCCCACCCTTCCGTTCCATCTATGCCCTTTGATATTCGGACTCCCGGAATCTTCACCAATTGGGCCTCATTCTCCGAACCGTTGCCATGGAAGCTGCACGGCGTATTAACAAGTGGACTCAGGAGGAAGACACAATCCTGCTTCAGAGACTCCAGGAACAACAAGCTAGTAAGTACAAACTTACCATCGTTGATCCGCCATGATACTCTAACATCTTTGTCAGAAAGCCCCCCAGATAAAGTGGTAGATTGGCAGAAGATTGCAGCAGCGCTTCCAGGGAGGACGAACAAAGACTGCCGAAAGAGGTGGTTTAATGTGCTCAACGGAGATCTAAGAAAGGGCCCCTGGACTGCAGAGGAAGACAGGCTGCTGGGCCAGGCCGTGGAGGCAGAAGGCAAAGTGTAATGAGTGACCCTTGCTGCCACTTGCTGCTCCTTGTTTGGGTGGTTGATCGATCCTCCAGGCATATACGAGATTGAATGCTTATATTGACGGTTGCTTAGATGGATGCGGGTATCAACATATGTCCCACGGCGTACGGCAGATCGTAAGTCTGGCCCAATTAACTATGAACTGTGATAGCGATAGCCAAGGATAAACACTAACTGATGTATATACAGAATGCGCCAAAAGGTGGCAGCACTTTCTTGATCCTGCCTTAGATAGATCCGAATGGACGGAGTCAGAGGTATGTCAAAGCACAAGCAGGGCGCTGGGGGGTTAAGGTATTTCATTCTTAATGAATTAAATCCAGAGCTAAGTTGGTAGTGCCAAATACTATGGGAGGCAGTGCAGACACAGGGCCGTCGATGGCTACAGATTAGAAACAATCTATTTCCCCAGCGTTCCCCTAACTCGTTAAAAAACCAGTGAGTTAAACTACTAGTCAATTTGGACAAACATCAACTCCGGCTTGACTCAACTGACCCTCCTGACACAGATACGCATTCATGTCACGGCATTGCTGCAAGGTCCAAAGGAACTGTGTGGCTGAAAGTGAGGGTATGAGTGCTGCTGGATCCAGTCCTGCTTCACATATTGAAGATCTTTGCACCGTCACAAGCCAGCCATTCAACGACGACAACAGCGTGATATCTAACGACACCCAACTATTATATCCTTCCACGGAGGATACGATTCTATTCCCTGCTGCCTCTCACAACGACAAAGCCATCATTCCAGACTATACTCTGCCGCATTTGACACTATTTGATTGCGTCCATGAAGCAGACGTTACCATGGCAGGCTTCACAAACAACACTGACATCGGGAGTTACCTCCAGGATTACACCGGGGTTGAGGATGGCTTTCCGTTCAACCCCTGCAGCTCGTCGACAATCGACCATCTCAGCCTGTCATCCGGGTTGGGAACCAGCTCGTTAGTCTCGGCGGGAATGTCTGAGTGTCAAAGCAACGACACGGGCTTGTCTTTGCCAAACTGTTCTGTGATGACGGTTAGATTGACGAATCCAGCACCGGAAGCAGTCCATGAGTTTATCCGCATTTTGATGGCGCACCAGCAGCAGGTGACGATAGATATCGAGAACTGAGATGATCTGTGACGTGTAGCATGTAGATAATAATATAGATGGTTGAAACGCAGATGGTCAGAGAAACATTTTTTTTTTTTTCTTAACGACTCGAGTTCTCAAGAGCTCTCGGATCACTGGATGACGGCGGCCTGGGCAGGAAGCACGCAAGCACGCAAGAGAGCAGGTATCCTGTCAGTCAGCCCGTTAAGCTCCCATGCTGCCGAACCCAGAATCCACCGTCCAGGGCCAGTTGTATGGCCTTGCGAGCGAAACCGAGACTCTTGGTTCTGCCTATCCGCCTTGGCTCGAGCTTATTGTGCATATTTGGAATACGGGCCGGCATATATAGAAGTATAAACATAAGATAAGGATAGGGATTGAGGGGGGTCTCATTTTTTAAGATGGAATGATGGAAATGAAGATGTACTGCCTAGTAACTAGTTAGTTATGTACGGAGTAAAAAGTTTTTTTGTTGTAGCTAGCTAGTTAATAATGGAACATATATACGTATCAGCATGTTGAAGTCCATGCTTTTGAATCATGGCAGCCAGCGCCCAAGGAAATGTGCAGTCTATGAGTATGTATGCATGGCAGATGATATGCTTGTTGAAAGGATAGTCGTCAAGTCGTTACTAAGTGAGTGGAGGAAGAGTAGAAGGACGGGCCGCGTATTTCCCATCCTGTCCCAGCCCAGCCCAGCCCATAAGATGACATCCCAGCCCAAGCGGCAAATTCTTGGGCTTTCTCCATCGGGGCAACCGATATGGCTGATGCAGCCGGTGTAGGGATGCTGTTGGGCCGTTCCGGTCGGAATGACCAGATTCGAACGAGTGAGTTACTGCTTGTGGTAGAACCGTCTTCGGGACCAGCCATCTTCCTGAGTGATGACTTCGCATTCGAGCGTGTAGCCTCGGAGCCAGGGGAGCAGGCGTGCCCAGACAAGCCAATAGACACCGCCTGCTGCGATGATTGAGATTCCGACTATGCAGTGGAGGTAGTACGGCAGCGATTTGTATACATTCTGCCCTTCCGTGGGGGGGACAAAGGGGGCGACGGTGAGATAGATATTACTCAGGAGGAAGAAGGTAGCTATGGGCAGAGTGGCGCTGAAGGGGGGAGCCCACTGGTAAGACTCGCGGTGGAGGTAGAGGTGTATAAGGCCCCCTGCAACAAAGACGTTGACGACTGCCAGGGGGTAGGAGATGACGC